AGTTGACCGGTTTGACTTGTTGACTTTGTTTGACTTTGACTTGAGCGAAATTTGACGGTTGTCACAGTTTTTGTTACTGGTCATTGTTGTATGATAGAGAAGTATTGAATAGTTGAAGTTATTAATGGTTATTGATGTTATGTAGAACTTACATATAAGTGAACTATACGTTGATTGTTGTTAGGTGATATGAGAAGCTTTTATAATTAAGAAATATGGTTGTTCTTATGAAAATAGAGTGGTAGCCTTCGAGGTCGTAATACTACTGGCGGACATTTTTAGAAGACATCGGTAGTCTTCAGGGCCGTAATATCATGTCTAAACGTTGTAAGCGAATATAGTAGCCTTTGTGGTTGTAATACCATGTTTAAACGTTGTAAGAGAATATACTAGCCTTTATGGTCATAATATCATAGACGTTCGTTGTTAGTTGGTATGGTATCCTCCTTGGCCTTAATACCATAGATGTTTGTTGTTAATTGATATGATAGCCTTCGTGGCCGTAATACCATAATTGTTCGCCATTAGCTGATATTGTATCCTCCATGGCCTTAATACCATAAATGTTAGTTGTTAATTGAAATGGTAGCTTGAGTAGTTGTAAAACCATTATTGTTTGTTGTTAGCTGAATTAGTGACTTGAGTAGCCATAAAACCATTGTTGTTCGTTGTTAGGTAAAATTATGGTTTGATTTGACTAGTTATAAAACCACTGTTGTTTGTTCTTATGAGTCGTGGATTTAATCCAACAATCAAAGATATAGTGTCATTAGTTGGGATAATAATACTCATATTGTTTATTTTATAGGCTAACTACAACATACTTTGACACCTTATCCGATTAAATTTCAAAGTTAGAGTTTATGACATAAGTTAATAAAATGCGACAAGTTATGCTTCAATCTTTTTGGTCTTGTGAGAATAACATGATAACATAGTTGAATCCATATTATTATTAACTGAATATTAATAAATGAATGAAAATATATTTTTATATTCTAAAATATTTTTGGTAGGTTCTTACGATTCGATTTGATCTTACGATTACGATCTTGCAAAACGGAAAACAACAATATATAAGATTCCGATTTTGACAACTTTGCTTCATGTATTTTTTTGTACATTTTCTTTTTTCATTTTTGTGCTTTCATCATCACAATTTGTTTTTTTTATTAAAATTTAAAACAATTATTTCTAATACATAGATATCAAAAATATAATTTGGAATCGTTGTGAAATAATTGGTCTCAGTTTCAAACCTACTTTAACTTATTAAGTCTATGACATCGACGTGTATCAATTAAAAATTCCTTTCTTTTTGAAAAACTTTGAAGAACATATTACACATTTATTAATTATATTGTTACACTTTTCCCCTTTTCTTTAGAAACTACAGTCACATTTCATATTTTCAACCCGATTGCCAGAACGGTGTATAGATTATACTACTAGGTTATAACCCGTGTATTACACGGTTGACAATGTAAAATAACATAAAAACTTGAAAAAATCGTAATCAATAATCATAGGAGAAAGCTCTCCAACATGCAACTTTCATCTCGGCAGTGTAAATGCTACACAAACCAGACACAAAGTTTATAACTATAAGAAAATTACAAAAGAGAACTATTAGTTATTAAAATTGATTAAGCTTTTAGAAATCATAAATGGTATTATTTTATCATTCAAATAGATGTGGAGTTATATAGAATGAATGAATCTACAAACTCATTTAAATTATAATACTTTCGTCATGATCACAAACCAATTAGATTCAAAAGTTAAATCAAACTTTATGAGTAATTTACAAATAAATGGACCAAATAATCAGAAATCCACGTACAAAATGAAGCGACAGTAGGTGATTGCCTGCATTATTTATTTTTTTAGCTAGTCTGAATAGTGGAAAATTAGATGAAACAAAGTTATATGATTTTTCAAAAAATGGGTGGGGTTGTCGATAAAACAAAGAGATATGATATCGATGCTATTAAATGTTTTACATTTTGCTTCACATATCTGGATCAAGAATTTGATTGACTGCATCAATTTTATATAATCACACACCTGCATCCGATTTTAGTTACTTTACATACACATGACCTACTTTAAATTTTACACTCATGCACACACACAACAACCTACAAACTCGATGATTGACGATAGAACAAAACTAAAAATAAAATTTCAAGTGTAAGTGCTGAAAGTGAGATCGAGTTTTTCGAGGGATCTTTACCGACCTAAGGTTCATCTTCTATATTAACCAAAAACAACCAATCTTGATTGGATTCCAATCTTGATGAGGTACCACAAGAAACTGAAACAGGAAGACGAAGAAATTATAACAACTACCTAAAATTAATGGGTAGAGCAGATGATTTTGAAGCATCGGTAGAGTACTGCAATGAAGTCAATGTGTAGAGGAGAATACGATGCGGCTATACTCTATACCCTATATATGATGTGTAAGATTGACCCTCTATTTTTATTTTTAATTTAGAATGTATCACAATTCTTGGTTTTTTGCTTTAACTTTAATTTAAATATGATATATGAAGCGTTATTTGAGTGATTATGATTGCATTTAGTTAAATGATAAAATCTATCCATAATTGAGAAATAACAATAACGTAAAATCTTAATCTTAATTGCCAATAATATCTTTATACATGGGCGGAAAATAAGAGCTGGAAAAAAAATAAGAAACTATCATGTGGCAAATATAAGGTTGAGAAAGATGATATGTGGCAATTTGGGAGTCATTTAGAGCTTGACACATGGCAGTAGGAGATTCAACCTATTTATTTATTAGAAAGGGAGATTGATATAACTTTCATGCTTATTTAAAGTCGGGAAATTGACTTATTAAAGTAATTAATTTTTTGATTTTTTTATATTTGGGTAATTTGTTTATATTTGAGTAATTTTTTTAACGAACTTGTTGTAAGTGTTTACATATGATCATAATGACCGGCTATAACAGGTTACATCTGGTCATAATGGTCATATGTTAACACTTTCAACAAGTTCGATACGTAGATGTATACAAAAAAATAAGTTACCCAAATATAAACAAAACGAAAATATAATTACCCTGATAAGTCAATTTTCATTTTTATTAAGGTAGTCAATCGTAACTTTTGCAATAATAATAAATTCAGTTAAATTTTCTTAAAACAATATTTATGACCATTTATGATTGTTTTTTATAATATATATATATATATATATATATATATATATACACACACACTAGGTTATAACCCATGAGAACCACGGTTATGAAATTAATCGAATTTTGATAGTTAAAAATCGTAATTATTAATCAATTATTTCAAAAAAGATTATTAAGTAAGAGAGTTATGTGATTGGTCATGTTCACACCCACAAAATGCAAAAATAATTGTCATATTGAAAAAAAACAAAAAAAAACATGGGCATGCAAGCATTTGGTATATATATTGATATAAATATATGATTTTTTTAATACAAACCCAACTCAGTGTTCATTTTAAACCATGCATTTTTTTTCCGTTGAATTCAAGTATCATCCTTTATAATTATTTGAAACTATATATAAAATTAGAAACAATTCAACGTGGAATTTAATTTCTCAATTGGAGGAGCACTTCTATCATTTTGAAATTCAAAATACACCATAAATAGATGGTTTATATAAGGAGGGCATATTTGTAAATATGGATGCAAAAATTTAGGCGGGAAAAAAAGCTAAGAAGTTCTAAGAAAGTGATATGTGATAAAAAAAACTATTGTTTTATTAATATAGGAAGATGAGAGGTAAAACCGGATAAATTATAGAAACAACATGAGGTGTAAATACATGAAGTATAATAATACATAGATAACATTTAAAGAAAGATGCTTAAATGGTTTCAAAAGTTCATCTTAATAGAATAAGGACAAAAAGGATACACAAGAAAATGGAAGATATACGTAAAAAAAAAACCCTATAAAAAACATTGTAATTCGAAAAATTCTCCTAAAATCCAAAGAACATAACAAAAACGGGGGATTATTCTCGAAGAGATGTTTAAAGCGATAATAACCATGTTGGAATTTGAAGCATTATTTACGTACTATTTGTAATTCAACAAAGGTACAAGTTAGTTTTCTTTAGGGTTAATACCTTAAAAACCATTATTTATACATATACGTTTTGATTTAACCCCAATATTTTTTTTTTGTTACTTATTTACCACCGTTAATGAGATGACGTTCCATTTATTAAACATTACCCGGTTAACAACCGATAATCAAGTCCTTGCCGGTTGCCTTTTTTCACTCGAGTACTAATTCTTGGGAACATGCATAGTAGCCACCACCTTTTCCCTGGACTGACTAACAAAGGGGTTATCAGATACGATCATCGTCAAAAGAGGGTTTTGGAAGATGGTTTTTGAAGGTTTTCAAGGGTTTGATGGCAGAATCATCAATGGCAGAATCATCACGGAGAAGGAAAAGTAAAGAATCAAAGACGACAAAGAAGACAAAGTTGAGATACGTACGTGATGAAGAGTCTGATGATGATCTTCTTGAGTTAGGATTGTTGGATGTTGAACCAGATAACTTCAATCCTACATCTAACTTGTGTGACGACCCTTTTCTTAACATTTTATGTGATGATAAAATGTTAAAGAATAATCAATTTGAAGGGGACGATGAAGCTGATGTTGAAGATATTCACCAGGAAGAGCATGAGCATGAACACCTTGAAGATGAAAATGACTTGGAAGTGGGTGTCGAGTTCAGGGTGCATGATCCTACCGTCAAGTGGAACCAAATGAAGCCTACAGTTGGTGAGTTATACGAGTCCCCTACTCAGTTAAGGTTTGCACTCACTAACTACGCTGTAGCTAATGGATACCAACTTTGGTTCATTAAAAGTGATAAAAGCAGGGTAATTGTTAGGTGTGGGAAAAAATGCAAAAAAACCATGTCCTTTTAGGATCCATGCTTCATGGAAGTATAATGAACGTACTTTTCAGATAAAATCTATGGTTGAAACACATCTTTGTGCAAGGAATTATAATTTTGGACATTTGGTTAGTTGTAATTGGTTAGCAAAACACTACATTAAGGACATAATTAGGAAGCCGAAAATGACATTGCCTGAGATGATGAAGGATGTCCTTACAAAATTCTCAGTGAAAGTGTCATAGGGGCAATGTCATAGTGCAAGGGTAAGGGCAAGGGAAATGATAGAAGGTAAACTAGAGGAACACTATGCTAAGGTATGGGATTATGCCAATGAAATTCTTAGATCTAACCCTGGAAGCACATGCAAAGTAGGAGTGTCAGTAAATCCAGATGGAGTGAATTATTTTCAACGTTTTTATGTATGCTTTAAGGCATTGAAAGATGGGTGGAATAGAGGGTGCATACGTATGATTGGCTTAGATGGATGTTTCCTAAAGGGACAAATCAAAGGGGAGATTTTGACTGCTATTGGAAGAGATACTAACAATCACGTGTATCCAATTGTATGGACTGTAGTAAATGTAGAGAACGAAGAAAATTGGACTTGGTTTTTACAGCTATTGGTTGATGACTTGGGTGTTGAGGGTGGAAGGGGTCTAGTTGTCATTTCAGATCAACACAAGGTAAACATAA